CGTAGCATCACATCACCAATCCTCTCTTGCGCCTGCTTGCCATCCTCCGCACGGCATCGCCTCGGGTTCACCGACGATCTTTCGGACGAGGAGGAGCAGCGAGGTCTGCTGGACCGTCGCAGCCAAGGCTCCTCTTCACGCTCACAAAGCACATATGGCTCAACAGCGCAGCAGCAAAATGCTTCAGCAGACAATTTCGACGACAGCGATGCCATTTCGCTCTTGTCCAACATCAACGATAGATCGGGCAGAGGAGCTAGGAGGAAGAGACGGCAACCTCGATTGAGGAGCTTGGTGGACTGGACGGATGGCACTGCTCAACAGCTGCTGGCGTGTGGGCTGTTCGGTCGGACAAAGGGTCAGATCGAAGAGCGTCAGAGGCTCAGGAGCGATGGAGCAGCAGCAACGAACAGAGACGGCTCGGCGCACCACCGACGCACGAGCAGCTCGGGCAGCACAGAATCGCTCGGCTCGTTGGGTGACGAAGCGGACGAGGATGCGGGGATGCTGCAAGATGCCGCCATCCGCGATATCATCCCACTTACACCTGAACAACGAGAAGAAATGCGAATAGCTGCAGAAGAACAAATGCGAGCTGAAGAAGCTGAGATTCAGAGGCGAGAGGCTGCAGAGTTTGCGGCAGAGGCTGAAGCCGAGAGCAAGCGCAAGCGAGAGGAGGAGCAGCTTGAAAGGGCGCGAGTGGAGCAGAGGAAGAAGGAAGAGGAGGAAAGGCAAAAGCGAAAGCGCGAAGAGGAAGAGGCTGCTGCTGCTGAAGTCAAGAGAAAGGCTGACGAGGAAGAACGACATAGGCAGGAGCGCGAGAATGAAGCTGCTCGGCTCGTAGAGCAAAGGCTGGAGGCAGAGGAAGCAGACGGGAAGCGTAGAGGGGAGGAGGAGGACGACGAAAGGAAGCGACGTGCTGCCGCTGCTGCTGCGCGCGCTGAAGAGGAAGAGCGAGCTCGTGTCAGAGAGGAGGCGGAGAGAGCAAGGAAGGAGAGAGAGGATAGAGAGGAGGCCGCGCGTGTCGCCATGGCCGAGGCTCAAGCTGCAGCGAAAGTTGCGGCCCTCGCAGAGCAAGAAGCCGAGGCGAGGCGCTTAGAGCTCAAAGCGGAAGCCGAAAGAAAGGAACGTGAAGCAGCTGAGAAGGCCGCATCAGAGGCCGAGGAAGCGTC